CCACCTTCCACCCCGGCCTCTGCCGAGAGGAGGGACACATGCAGGGGACCTGGACCTTGGCCACCTTCCACCCCGGCCTCTGCCGAGAGGAGAGACACATGCAGGGGACCTGGACCATGCCCACCTTTCACCCCGGCCTCTGCCGAGAGGAGGGACACATGCAGGGGACCTGGACCATGCCCACATTTCACCCTGGCCTCTGCGAGAGGAGGGACACATGCAGGGGAGAAGCAGGGCACCGGCCTTCCTCACGAAGTGCCGGCCTCCAGCATGGACTTCACCGCCGCCTGGATGGGACCTCTGAGGCAGGCTTCAGCCAGAAGACGGTCAATGGAGAAGGAGCCCCCATGGGAGCTGAGGTCCTCCCAGGCTCCCCTCCACCCCTTGGGTGCCCCTGCCCTTCACAGCAACCAGCAGGGATGTCCCCCCCTTACCTGCACTGATGACTGGTGACCCCCCGTGCAGTGCAGGGAGACCCCACATCCCAGGCCATCCCGTGCCCACATGACCACAAGGTTCCCGCTGCCTGGTTCTAGATGTAGGTCGACAGGTCTGTCTTCCCGGCGCACCTTTTCCGGAAGGTCCACTCCCACCTGCCTCACATCACAGCGGGGAATGACCCCCACCACCTGGGGCGCACACACCGCGTTATTACAGAACACATTCCGTCAGCCGCCGACATGCTGCATCATCTATTTTTATTTATGTCATAATAAGCTCTGGCGGCTGAGTGGTAAGAAGCTGAGCTGCAATCCCAAAGGCACGAGGTTCAAATCCACCAGCTGCTCTGCAGAAGAAAGACGGGCGATCTCCTCCCGTGTGATTCGCAGCCTCTGAAAACCTGCCGGAGGGTCAGCTACGGGTCGGTTCCAACTGAGCAGGGCATCCGACAGCACAGTTCATGCATAATAATATGATATGTTGCTGTTATTCATGCAGACAACTGGGGCTGCACACAGGGTGAGTGGTCAGAATCAACCCTGGGCCTCCTTCATGGAAAGGGAAGTTCTACCCTAGAATCACCGCTAAACCCCTAATCCAAACATCAGCACCCTGAAACTCAAAGGCGTCCCACTGAGGTGACCTGACAGTTACTATGTGACAAGGGGCAGGAGACAGAGTCAACATCAGTGTCCACACAGAGGTCAAGAGAGGTGGAAGACTCAAGTGCAGTGTCCACTACCCATGCTGGTCACCCTCTGCCCTCCCAAGCTCCACAGACACCGTCACAAGCGCAGCCGCCGTCCAGACTGTGCTGGGCCACCAGGAATGGGCCACGTCGAGGGCATTCCATGTACAGGTGTCCCCTCCAACAGAGTCCATGCGTCTTCACACAGGCTCTGCAGGTGAGGACAGATAGATGGACAGGTCATCCATCCACGTCACATCCAGCCTGGCCTGCCACCCAGAGTCCCTATACTC